ATGCAGACATAGGCAAGGCGGCTCCCATGCCTATTGGCTGACCTGTGGCAACAGCAGCAGCCTATCGAGAGAGGCCCTGCGTGACGTGATACCCAATGGGGGTGCTTCGCGCCCATTTACGTCACGTCCCGCCAGAATAGGCATGGCCTTGGCCTATAAATATGGCTCGACAGGCTGATACAAACTGATTTTCATCTCTTCAGCGAAGCACTACTGCATCGCTGGATCCGGAGTGAGAAGCCGCGCCGTCGACGCAAGCCTTCAGCGGGACGAGCCCTCGAGTCTGAAGTCGCTGGCCTTCACCTCGCCGCCTTCAGCCGCCGTACCTGCTGCGCTTTCCGGCGTCTATATCCTTGTAGGCCGGGGCCATACCATTGATGGCCTTGAACACGAACAGCAGGACCTTATACTCCACCCTAAATCGCACCGGGAGCCAGTGGAGCGAGCGGAGGACTGGGGTGATATGTGAGTGCTTAGAGACGTTGCAGAGGAGACGTGCTGCTGCGTTTTGTACCAGTTGAAGCCTATTGAGGAGTGATTTATTATAGAGGCCTGGATTTCAGCCCGAGCCCGATGGGCCCCGACTTATTTACACTCCTAGGGACGGGCTTCGGGCCAATTTTCACGTCATAGTTCACACGCGGGCCGGGCCTCGGGCCTGTTTTAGGCTTATCTTTTTTATAGCCTATTTTAGACATTAATTAAAATAAAATATGAGAAGATGACGATTGAAAAGCAAACATAGAAAGACGTTTTATAACCTATCACACTGACATATGACTGACACATGGCAGTCTGCTCACGCACACGCACACAGGTTTCCCGGCGGGGCGATTCGAGATTCGCGCGACCGGCTCGTTCAGTGTTTAGTGTCCCGCCAGTAGCAGAATATAGCGAGCGTGACTTCAGCGCAGCTGGAAAAAGTACGACTGGATTAAAACCTTCCACTGTGGATGCTGTGCTTTTTCTTCACGATGCTCTGTAAGAGACTGTTCTTAGCCATGATAGGAAGTTGTCTTGTTGTTTTTTGTTTGATTGGACTTTATTTTCATGAGTCTGTTGGAAACTATTGGAAATAAGAGTGGCCATGTTCTGTAGTGAAGACTTGATTTTTGAGGTAAGATAACCTGCATGTTTGTTTTTAATGTAATTTATTTGATTTGTTTAGATTGCATTCTCTGTATTGTATTGAATTGTAAACTCATTTAGTTTGCGAGCGCTGTTGCGACTGAGCAGCAGAGCAGTTTGCCTCAGCTTTTCAAAAATGACAATAAACATTTAAACAAACGTTTAAACTAACGTTAACTGTCTGTGTGATATGCTTAAGTTGTTTTATATCTATGGATTTTATTGTAGCCAAGTAAAGTGTTGATTTGAGAGGCTATAAATGGATCAAACATGTTTAACTCGCTGTCGGCTGCTTGGTCATCATAAAAACAAAACAAAAAAAACATTTGTCTTAATTAACTTTATAAAGAAATTTAAATAAACTTACCGGTAACTACTTTTCCATTGAGAACAAAACATATCTGTTTTAATGACTGCAACATAGGGCAGGCTGTAATCAAAAAAATTGTTTTATTTAAAAAAAAAAAAATTATAAACGGGTTCGGGTCGGACTCGGGCTGATCATTCTAATGAGCTGTCGGACACGGGCCGGGCTAGGGCCTGAGCGTCTCGGGCCAGGGCCGGGCTAGGGCCTAGATTTGAGGCCCGTGCAGGGCTCTAATTTATTAAGTCCAATTGCAGTAGTCTATCCTCGAGCTGATGAAGGCATGAATGGCTTTTTCAAGGTCAGCTCTGGACAAAAATGGTTTGACCTTACTCAGGAGCCTTAACTGGTAAAAGCTTGCCTTCACAACTGCACTAATCTGTTTGTCGTACGGCATATTTTTGTCAAAAATAAACACCCAGGTTACGCACATTGGCCCTTATTTATCATTCCTGCATAGAAATGGGCGTATAAGATTATGCTTACACTCCTCTCACCACCTGATTTATGAAGCTGTGCGTACCTTTGAAATCCAGGTGTATGCAATACCTGCCCTTGATAAATGCTGCGGCTCATGTAGAAGAATGTCATTTTTATTATTTTGTCAGTCTGAATTATTTTTTGGTCATTGAAGGCCTTTCATTACTGAACCCAGGCTCGCAACTGAAGGAATACATATGCCTACAAATCAAATGCTTTGGTAAAGTCACACAAATTAAACATTGAAGTCCATGTTGCACAAAAATAGACACTGAAGTTTATAATTACTATGTTGTTGTTTTTTTACAGTGGGTCATAATATATCATATCTTTTAGTTTGTCAGTGCGTTTTGTGGTGTTAGGAATTGCTTTTCTGCGCATTTCCGCACTAACTCAAAACGTGCGTACATGTACACCACCTCCTGAGCTGGCGTAGGATTTGAGCATGCCGTATGCCAACGTCCATATTGATAAATCTCAAAGTCACCGTGGTTTTGGGTGTACACTGGAAATTTGGTGTACGCACTTTTGATAAATGAGGGCCATTGGGTGCAAACTGAGGTGTTAAGAGGACCAAAACTGAGAGACCTATTGGGTGAGTCCGGGTTGAAGAGGATGTACTCAGTCTTTCCTTCATTCAGATGAAGGAAATTCTGGGAAAGCCACTGTTTGATGTCCTGAAGGCAGTTATGGAGAGGATCCAGTGCAGAACGATTGGTCAGAATCACAGGAAGGTAGATCTGAAGGTTGTCAGCATAGAAATGGAAATGAACATTGTGATTGGAGATGAGTTGACCAAGTGGCAGCATATACAATGAAAACAGAATCGGATCAAGAATGGATCCTTGAGGCACACCGGAAGACAGAGGGGCAGCTGAGGAGGAAAAGTCATTAAGCATTACTGAAAAAGTTCTGTTGGTGAGATTGAGATTGAACCAATTGAGCACCGCGCCCTGCAGACCGACAACATGTTGAAGACGGGAGATGAGAATGGCACGATCCACGGTGTCAAATGCAGCGGTCAGGTCCAGTAACACCAAAACCACAGAGCTTTTACTGTCCAGGGCTCCAAGAATGTCATTATGGACCCTCAGTAGTGCCGATTCGGTGCTATGTCTAGACCTGAAACCGGACTGAAATTTATCACCAATGACGTGCAGTTGGAGATAAGACTGAAGCTCTCCATCAACTTGGACAGAAGTGACAGTTGAGATATTGGGCGGAAGTTGGATAGTATGGAGGCATCAAGGTTGGGTTTCTTGAGCAGCGGTCTGACAAGTGTTTGAGAGCAGCGGGCACAGTGCCCAAACTAAGACAGGTGTTTATGAAGGAGACAAAGAAGGGACCTATGATGTCAATAGCCTCCTTCAAAATCTTAGCAGGAACAGCGTCTAGAGTGCAGGTGGTAGGCTTCAACTCATGGACAGCTTTTTTGAGATCCGCAAGAGAAACTGCCTCAAAGTTCTCCAGCACACATTGCACCGCTCGGGTGGACATGGCTACAGCAGGGGCTTGTGTGATGGTTTGCCTGACAGACAAAACCTTTTCCAAAAAGTATTGACGTACTGAAGTTCGAATGCATTGCATGTATTTTCAGATACATCATTCAAAGCAACAGAAGCATGGCAACAAAATCATTTTACAGTAATCTAGAAGTTTTATAAAGCTTATTACAGTGTCATTTAAAACACGGTAAGTCTATCCTTCACAGCCTCGCATTCATACCTGTCATGGCGCTGCTCTGAATAAGGTCTAGGTCCCTGTTTTCACCTCATTAATTATGGTGAAGTGAAGTCATTAGTGTCAACAGGTTGAGGCAACCGACAATTCTATTATTATGGAGAAAACGGATCCTAGACCAGCAGTTATGAGACATTTTTCTCTCTAAAAGCGACCAAAAGCTTCAGCAGCACAGACGTAACTATCGGTAAGCAGAGTATGCAGTTGCTTACGGACCCGGACCAATCAGGTGCCTGGAAGATATTGATTGACAACTGGGGCCCCCTATCGCATTTCTACTTTTAGTCTGATCGCATTTTACTTTATCGCAAATTTATTTGAATAAATAATGACAACAACATATTTTTACTGATCATTATGTGTGAAACTAACAATGATGGATTTTGTTGTCATTTGTTTCGAATTGGGACTGGGGAATCCCCGGGCCGATAAGTGAACATGTGTATTGCGTGCAAAACAGTAAAAATGTTGAACTTGAGACAGACAAAATCTATGTGGAGTCGTTGTCAAATTATAAAAGTGGCTTTTTAAAACGAAAATAGGAATTCGAGATGTTTATCCTATTTTGTCAGTCATCTCTTATATGCTGTGTCTCTATGATCCTATCCTGTCCTATTCATGGTAGCCTACATGTGGACATTGCGTCATCACGTGCTGTAGTAGGGGGCCCGCCTTGATAATCCTGCATAAGTATTATTAATAAAATAAGACTATTTTATTTATGAATGGATTTTGCTTTTTTCATGAAACTGTTGGCTGATAATAAATCACATTTAACACTGAGGTCCAACTTAATTCACCAAGATCCGCTCACTGTAAAGTTGCTGGCCTCGCCACTGCTGTAGGTATCTATGCATGTATTCAAAGGCTGCAATTACATAATTAGGGAGACATGTAGAAAAACTGAAACTGTAACTGTAAACGATTGAAGGTGAATATATCGCTGTATTATTATTGTGCATTATTAATTATTATAATAGTGGATTTGGTCCATAACAATGCGGAGATGTGATTTACTGAATGCGGCCCCTTTAAGAAAAATGACAACGCGCGCACTGAGCATGCGCAGAAGAGAGAAGTGCGAGAGCCTCTCTATAGTTTTGTTTTCTTTCTTCTCTCTCTCTCTCTCTCTCTCTGTCTTTTTGTTGTTTCCTTTGACGCTATTATGAATGTAACAGTCGAACACGGTGTGATCCCCTGTGTTGTATTAGTGTATGTTATATTAATGTTCTTGTTAATGCAATAAAAAAGAGAGAAGCGCGAGAGACGAGACGAGCGTTGAAACTTTAACCATTTGAAGCTGTGACGCTGTTAACGATCGTGAATGAAGGACAAATGTGAAATATTTTCTTCGGATGTCGTATATTTCCAGTCTGCAGGTCAGAGATGTTATATTTATAATGTAAGAATTTATGTTTGTGTTGTCTAAATGTATATTGTACGTATTGTAACGTACAGAGAATTAAATAGTCATTATTTTGATCAGCCACTATTCAGTCTCTGTACATATTGTATGACTTCTGTTATTTTGTTAGACTCCTGATTAATTAATATATTAATTGAAGAATTTATCCCTCTCACTTGTTTCATCCTTATAAAATCTTTAGTCACATAAAAATGAAATACTTTCAGAGCCGTTTTAAATTGCTACTATTATATAACCATATCAAAATGCTCTATATTTCTTAAATCAAGCACATATGGTCATTTAAATTAAGAAGAGTAATGATTACAGTATTTCAGTATAATCTCAGTAACCTTGAATTTGGCAGATCTGGTGTCCCCCACAATAGTTCACCAAATAAGACAGCGTTAGTTCAACTGTTAATGGCAATATATGATAAATTAAATTAAATAATGAGCAATATATGATGTTATTCTGGAATACATTTAAATTATAATAATCTTGTACAAGTAGGCCTACTTGTTATCCACATTTTAATGGTCAAGTGTTAGATTATTTCCTTTTGTGGCATCATTCTCAGTCCCTTAATCAATGGTTAATTTCTGTCGTCTAATGTTAGATTTCTGATTAGTTTAAATATTAATTGAATAAGTTAATCTGTGCCCTGTTTCATCCTTATTATATGCTGGGATTTACATAAAAATTATCAACCTACAGTTGTTTTATATGCTACTAAAATGTAACCATCAAAATGCTCTATATTTGAACTAAACCAAAGACACCATGTGTTTTACTGTTAAAGTAATCCAGTATAAATTCAGTAATTTATCTTTGTTTTTTCCAGATCTGGTCCTGTGGGCGTCAGTATCACACAGTGATCACAGTTCACACCTGCAGTGAAGCCCCTCCCACAACAATTCACCAATAAATACTGGGAATATTCCCATCATCCTACAAGAGAAGGACAAACTCCAGGAGTAGCAGCTGAAATCTGTGTGACTGTTAAAGATGGAGTTTATTAAAGAGGAGATTGAAGACATGAGTGATCCAGAACCATCCAGAATAAAACATGAAGATACTGAGGAACAAATAGGTTGGTGTCCATTCTTGATTCTTCATTGTTGACTGCTTTCGTATCTCTGAAATATGGATTACAAATGATAGAGAAATGCATCTAAATGATCATAACCCAGTTTTAATAGCATTAACAGGTGAATGACAGAACCAAACTTTCAAAGATACTTTATACAGACAGGTGTCTTGTTTTCTGCTTGCTGAGTGTTTTTAATTCTCAGATTTAACCTCATTGAACTGATTCTAACTGATTAATATGTTTATTTTAGACCAGATGGAAGTGACGGAGCAAAGACAGAAACTAAATGAAGTGAAGAAACACTGTGATTTCAAAACTCAAGGAACAAAAGCCAATAAGCTGCACTCCTGCTCTCTGTGTGAAAAGAGTTTCCAAAACAAAGGAGACCTTAAAAAACACGTAAGAATTCACACTGGAGAAAAACCGTATACATGTCCTCAATGTGGAAAGAGTTTCAGACAAAAAGGAAGCCTTAAGACACACATGAGAATTCACACTGGAGAGAAAGTGTATACATGCACTCATTGTGGAAAGAGTTTTTCACAAGCATCAGGTCTCAGTGTTCATCTGCACATTCACTCTGGAGAAAAACCATTTAAATGTGATCAGTGTGGTAAAGGTTTTAATTCGTCATCAAATCTTTCGCAACACCTGATCGTTCATTCAGATGAGAGGCCTCATGTGTGTTCTCTCTGTGGAAAGAATTTTTCACGACTGAATAGTTTTAAACAGCACCAGAAAACACATAATGAAGTGAAAGATCATGTGTGCTTTGACTGTGGAAAGAGCTTTGCAATATCAAGTCATCTGAAACAGCACCAAAGAATGCATACTGGAGAAAAACCTTACAAGTGCTCATCCTGTGACAAGAGTTTTGCTCGGTCTGGATACCTGAAACTACATGAGCGAGTTCATACTGGAGAGAAGCCGTACCACTGTACTCAGTGTGAAAAGAGTTTCAAAGATGCAAAAAGTTTAAAAGATCATCTGCACATTCACTCTGGAGAAAAGCCATTTAACTGTGATCAGTGTGGAACAAAGTTCATTTCATCAAAACATCTGAAAAGTCACCTGATCGTTCATTCAGATGAGAGGCCTTATGTGTGTTCTCTCTGTGGAAAGAGTTTTTCACGGCTGAAAGGTTTTAAACTGCACCAGAAAACACATGATGGAGTGAGAGATCATGTGTGCTTCAAATGTGGGAAAAGCTTTACTAGAGATGACCATCTGAAACGGCACCAAAGAACTCATATTGGAGAAAGACCTTACAAGTGCTAATGCTGTGACAAGAGGTTCGCTTTGTCTGGAACTCTGAAACTACATGAGCGACTTCATACTGGAGAAAAGCCGTACTGCTGTACTCAGTGTTAGAAGAGTTTTAATGTTTATCAAGCCTTCACACACATGAAAAAAAAATCAACATTCATGTGATCAACATTCATTTTCTTGTCAAACACATTAAAGTAAACTGAGATAAAATAAGGAGTTTTTCATAAAAGCACTATATAATCTAGATTAATTTAGTTAATGTGGTGAAAATATTGTTTAACTAGAAAGACTTAAATGGATAGTTCAGCCAAAAATGAATTCTGTCATTAATTACTCACTCTCATGTCATTCCAAACCTGTAAGACTTTCATCTTCAAAACACAAATTAAGATCTTTTTGATGAAATCTGAGAGCCTAATTTCAATCTGTTCATCAAATAAAGCAACTGTGTCTCTTCAGAAAATGTTTGACTAAACCGCTGGATTTATATGGATTATTTTTACAATCTCTTTATTAACTTTTTTGAAGCAGCAAAGTGGTGATTGCATAAGCCGGATAATAAAAGTTGTGGGGCAGTGGTGATAAGTATCTGTATAAGTAAGGAATAATTGATGACAGTCCGTTGAATTATTAGTAAATAATGCACACCTGAGTTAATAATGTAGGGGCCGTTCACATATAGAGTCTTTTGCGCGCTCAAGTTCGTTATTTCAAATTAAGTCGCGATGCACATGCGGTGCGGCACGCTAGTTTATCCAGGCGCCCCTATGCCACGGCAAGATGAAAACATCTCAACTTTTCAGAATGCCGCAAGTGCACTGCAGGTCATGTGACAAAAACCAACCGATCAGCTTCGGCCTTTTTTCGTAACAGCATCGAAAGCTCGACTGAACAGCTGATCATAGCTGTACAGGGCGGGTTTTTATTTCTCATCTCCATTAATGGATCTAGTAGTAAAGCTAATACAAGGGCTAGAAATCAATTAATCTTTTGCTGATACTTCCTCGTCCTCATGGAGAGAGCAGTTCATGGATGCATAGCAACGACAGACGCCATGGGAGCGCAAGCGCTTGTGGAAAGAAGGAGAAAGCTGCGCAGCCGCGCTTTCCACAAGTTTTTAGACGCGATATGTGAACGGCCCCTTACACCTCGGATGTGCATTATTTTCTACTAATTCAATGGACTGGAGTCAAATATTCTAGCCTGGATGCCAGCCCGAACCCCGCCCACAACATTTTTTGGTCGGGAAGTTCGGTCTGGACTCGATCCATTGAGGAGTAATTATAATCGGTTCAGAAATCGTCGGGCCAATCAAATTGCCAGGGCGGGCTTTATACGATGATGGACAGATGATCTGCAGTTACGTAATCATCACGTTATCAAAGAGCGCTTGGGTTGAACTGGTTTCCCTCAGAGATGACTGCAGCTGGAGAATTGAGATGTATAGATTCCGCTATCGCGTCAGTTGTAAAAGAAATCAACAGCGCATTAATTTTAAAAGACGAACAGAGAACTGCAATCAAGGCATTTGTCGATCAGAAAGATGTGTTTGCCGTCCTTCCTACGGGATTCGGCAAAAGTTTAATTTATCAGCTGGCTCCGATGGTCGCTAAGAAGGGACGCAATGAAAACACTGTGGTCGTTGTGGTTTCTCCTTTGGTTGCACTCATGGAGGACCAAGTAAAAGAAGCAACACTCATTATTTCACTACTTCTTCCAGCGTGTGTGTAGTTGAGTTCTGTTCACAACTATGCATAGCTCAACATACGTCACTTACTGCGTTGCTCTGATTGGTTATAGGCCTATCCAATTGAGTGCAGAGTTTTTTTTTTTTTCTGGTTCGGTTAAGACACGCCTCATAATCAAAGGCCTATGGAGCAGTATCAGACTCATATTCTGACTAGAATATGAGTATGACGAAGTCAGGCTACAAATATTCTGCTTATTTGATGAAATTTGTCAGGTTGTTTCAGAATAAAGGGTTAGTTCCCCCAAAAATGTGTGTTCGGCAGAAGCATCTATACTATTAGCGAAGCTGTAGGTTTATCTGCTTCAAGAACAGTGCAGATATTACCTCGCTAGTGAGAAATGTCATGCAGCTTTTAAGTTGCTATACTATTACTGATAATATCTATCTATCTATCTATCTATCTATCTATCTATCTATCTATCTATCTATCTATCAATTAGGAATAGGTTGTTCTGCTTCATATTTTTAGCACATTTTTACCTCACTGCTACTCACTGTTACTCACCGTCACTCTTTGAGTCTGCTTGTTCCCTGACAGAAGACCAGACCAAACAGACAACAACCATGAGTGATATTTTATTCGACCCAGTTTTTCCATGACACAAGATGGCCGCCAGATTGAAGACTACCCACTTGGTGCCATGAAATGACACCATGAAGATGGTCTTCTTAGAGCCCTGCACGGGCCTCAAATCTAGGCCCTAGCCCGGCCCTGCCCCGAGACGCTCAGGCCCTAGCCCGGCCCGTGTCCGACAGCTCATCAGAATGATCAGCCCGAGTCCGACCCGAGCCCGTAAAAAAGAAAAAGAAAAAAAAAGAAAGATAAACAGCCTGACCTATGTTGCAGTCAGTAAACCAGATATATTTTGTTTTCAATGGCAAAGTATTTACCGGTAAGTTTATTTTCATTTCTTTATAAAGTTAATTAAGAAAAAACAACAAAAAAAATTATGACGACCAAGCAGCCGACAGCGAGTTAAACATGTTTGATCCATTGATTGATTTATAGCCTCTCAAATCAACACTTTACTTGGCTACAATAAAATCCATAGATATAAAACAACTTAAGCATATCACACAGACAGTTAACGTTAGTTTAAACGTTTATTGTCATTTTTGAAAAGCTGAGGCAAACTGCTCTGCTGCTCAGTCGCAACAGCGCTCGCAAACTAAATGAATTTATAATATAGGCTACAATACAGAGAATGCAATCTAAACAAATCAAATAAATTACATTAAAACAAACATGCAGGTTATCTTACCTCAAAAATCAAGTCTTCACTACAGAACATGGCCATTTCCAATAGTTTCCAACAGACTCATGAAAATAAAGTCCAATCAAACAAAAAACAACCTCCTCCTAACATGGCTAAGAACAGTTTTTAGAGCATCGTGAAGAAAAGGCACAGCATCCACAGTGGAAGGTTTTAATCCAGTCGTACTTTTTCCAGCTGCGCTGAAGTCACGCTCGCTACCATAGCGGGACACTAGAACGAGCCGGTCGCGCGAATCTCAGATCGCGCTGCCGGGAAACCTGTGTGTGTGTGTGTGTGCGTGAGCGTGAGCATGAGCAGACTGTCATGTGTCAGTCATATGTCAGTGTGATAGGTTATAAAACGTCTTTCTATGTTTGCTTTTCAATCGTCATCTTCTCATGTTTTATTTTAATTAATGTCTAAAATAGGCTATAAAAAAGATAAGCCTAAAACAGGCCCGAGGCCCGGCCCGCGTGTGAACTATGACGTGAAAATTGGCCCGAAGCCCGGCCCTAGGAGCATAAATAAGTCGGGGCCCGTCGGGCTCGGGCTGAAATGCAGGCCTCTAGGTCTTCTGGAGTGGATTGTACAACCATATGTTTCGTAAGGTACCAGCAAGTGTTACCACATGAAGTCTGGCACGATATAAGATAATAAGCATTGGCTAAGTGGTTCATCCCTCATTGTTAGCTAGGTTGAAGATGCCAGCTCCACTCAGTTGCTGTGACCCCAGTCCACTCCAGCCTTTCTGGCACTGGTGGCTTTTTCCATCGAGCCACCACCACGAAACTCTTCCCAAGTCTTTCGCCATCACTCTTCAAGCAAGTCCCAGAATCCAATCCAATTCACGAGTCCGTTCCGGTGAGAGAAATTCCTGAGCATAGGAAGCCGAGCCCTGCTGTTAGATGTGACTGCAGTGACATTAATGCAGAGCATGAGTCTGTACATAAAATAACTTTTTTAATTTGTAATTCTTCTACCTTCTGTAATGCTATTACAATTGCTAACATCTCTACTGTATACACTGATAGATGATCTAAAGTCCTTCTTTTACCAGAAACATGTAATGTAGGAATACTAAAACCAAAACCTGCTTTCCCTGTATTAGGATCCTTGCATCCATCTGTATATATTTGAACATATGTTTGATATAGTTTTTGTATTCTATCTTCCACCAGTACTGCAATATTTCCAAATCCCTTTTGACCCTGCATTTTTACCAGGAAATATAAATTTACTGACACTGGAGGAAACAACCAAGGTGGTGTCACTGATAATGGCACTGTCGGGATATATCCTCCTTGATTTAATGTCATGCCTTCAGCTATTTCCTCACATCTCCATGCAAAGCATCCCCGTTTAGCTCTTTCACTCTCCCAACATGGGAGAAGTTGTAGGATGTCGATCCCCAGAATGCCCTTGTAAATTTATCCAATAGTGCATCATTAACTGCTTACGTCTAATGTGCAACGGCATTTTCCCCATCTCAACCTGAAGAGCAGCCACAGGAGTTGTTTTCACAGCCCCACAGCATAGTCTTAGAGCTTGAGCTTGCACCACATCCAACTTCTTTAATGGTGTTTTTGCTGCCGATCCATAAACAATGCTCCCGTAATCTAATACTCATCTTATCAATGCTATATACACATTTTTACTAGCAGCCCTACTTGCCCCCCATTCTGACCCTGTTATGCATCTCATCACATTTAGTATCTTTTTACACTTGGTATTTATCCTTCTAATATGTTCATTCCATGTTAACTTATCATCAAACCACATACCCAAAAACCTAAAAACTTTTACTTGCTCTATCTTGTCCATACATTTTTACCTGAGCCTCAACCCCTCTCTTTCTAGTGAAAAATACTGTCTTGGTCTTCCCAATTGCAAACTTAAATCCCCATGCAATTGACCATCTCTCCACTACATTAATTGCCTCTTGTATTTTACCTTTAATATGATTAATGTTCCTTCCTCTTTTCCATAAGGCTCCATCATCCGCAAACAGTCACAACAATCACAGAAACAGACAGGATATAAATAGACAGGTACAAACAATGTGAGTGGGAACAGCTGTGTGCAATGATCAGTGATGAGTTCAGACAAAGGATTATGGGAAATGCAGTTCACGATGAGGTGGTGACGTATGGGGAAGAGAGCTCTAGTGGACACCCAGGGAACACCAACCAGACACTGTGACAATTATGTCCACAAATGAGTAGAATCTACTTATATATTATTAATAATGCAATCAAACTTAAATAGTTTAATTAAATTGTAATTAAATTCTTTATTAGATATAAAATCTATGCTAACAATGTAACTTTAGAAAAAAAATGTATAGGCTAATTATTAAAATAAATAAAAAACTCTGGAAATAATTTTAAACGTTA